GCATGACACGAGTCAAAATACTAGTCAAATCAAATATGTGAAAATATAGTCTTGTCTAAAAAAATATCCAATAAATCTTAATATACTATTGGGAAGTTTAGAAATAAATTTAGGTCCCGTTTGGTACATGGAATTCAAACTATGGAATTAGAATTGTGAACTTCAATTCCAATTTTGGTGTTTGGTAGAACAAAAGTTATGTCGATTTGGAATTGATAGTGCAAAAAATATATTGAAATTGGTGAATTCAATTCTATGGAATTGAATCTCATGCAATTTCAATTTCAATTCAATTTCAATTCCATCAATTATGTAAATCAAACGGAGCCTTACTAATTTAGAATGCAACGATTTATATAAAATAAAATAAGTTGGAGTGTATAAATGGCGAGAGTCAGGAACCGACGACATTGGACTTTCATTTGGTATACTGAAACCGTATTCACTCCAATGCAATGACACTTGTCACACAATTGATCTGATTTTGAATGGTCAAATAGCTCGTGCCTCCTGTGGTTTGGAAAATTGGCATAAAAACCCCCTCTGTTTTCAAAACCTATTTTTAAAGTCCCCGTGGTTTTAAAACGTTCCGCCCACACCCCCTCTAACCATTTTCCGGCGAAGAGGAGGCATTGGTGCATTATTTTTAAACCATAGGGGGCATTCTTGCTCATTTCTTATTTTAGTTTATTATTTGTATTTTCCCTTTTTTTGAATATTTTGTATCTCTTTTTCCTTTTCCTAGATTTTTTTTTAAAATATATTTTCAATTTTTATAATGTTTTAAAAATTTTAAAATTCTTTGTGTTTGAAATACAAATAAAAAAATTAACATACATTACATCTATCTCAAATTAAACATTTTCACTTTTTTTAGAATAATTTTTTGGAAAGTTCGAAAAAATCCAAAATAAAAAAAAATAAAAATACGGAAAAACGAAATGAAAAATTAAAATACGCAAAAAAAAAGTCTTAGAAAAAAAAAATTTGGACACACCTGAAAAAGTCCTTAGAATTGAGATGTCCAAAAAAGATATTTATTTTAATTTTTGTATTATTTTTTTCTTATTTTATTCATCATTTTTTCAAAGTTCTCAAAAAAAAAATTCTTTTTTTCAGAAAAAACAAAATTTGTTAATTTCAGACGTACATATGGATTATATTTTATTTTTTCAAACAAATATAACTTTAAATTTTAAGAATATTATAAAAACAATTTTAAAAACCCCTAATTAATAAATGAAACAAAAAAAGGAAAAATAGAAAAAACAAAAAATAAACGAGAAATAAAAATCAGCACAAATATGCACCAATGCCCCCCTTCTTCGCCGGAAAAATGGCCGGAAAATGATATGAGGGGGCACGGGTGCAGCATTTTGAAACCACAGGAACTTTAGAAATAAGTTTTGAAAATAGAGGGGGTATTGGTGTCTGTTTTGCAAACCACGAGGGGTACCGAGGCTATTTGGCCGATTTTGAATCTATGACGTATTCTATACTCTTTAATTGAATTTTGCAACCTTGGATAGGGACATGCCAATCCTTAATAGGACACATAAACCTACCACGTACCAACCACGCCCAAATCACAATCCAAAGTATTTCTGAAGTAAACATAGACCCAGTCGTCTCTTACGCTGCAAGGCACAAGTACCTTTGATTTATTTACCAGGCCATAAAATATACAAAGATCTATAAATGTATCTGTCATTGAAGATAATGAGCTCAAATGTCTGAACCAAAACGCTGCGAGGGTCATAAACTTATTATAGAGATGAATCTGATAGAAAGTTACCGGCTAAGCTACATATAATTAAGCTTCGCTAACGTAATTCTACAACAAACAATAAGTGTGAAAACCCTTCCTTAGAAGAGATCAGCTTTAGGCGATGGAGCATCAATTACCTCAATTTGGATCACAACTTCACCACATTCTACATTTCTTAGTCGAAGGATCATTTCTTGTGTCATTTTACCATTTTCCCAGGCAATGTGGCTCTCGGCTACCAGGCAGTTTTCCCTGCTTGGCTGGACACTCTGAACTTTGCTACCATTTGGCAACCCTTTCAAATCCATTTTCATTGCTTCAAGATATGGCTTAATGTCTATCTCTGCATCCCCCACTTTGTCATCTACGGTGAATGTATCTTTGTCATAGAGTGTCTGGAGAACACGCATGGTAATCATGGGGTTAATTCATGTCGCCTACCACACACACACACACACACACATATATATATACATACACGTACATACATATATGTGTGTGTGTGTGTGAAAACTAAGCCTCCATATAAACAAGTCAAAGACGACAAATCACGTAAATTGGCACATTTTAGGACTAAAAGTACCACAAATTGAATAGTTGGAAAACCACATCATGTTGATTTGAATACTACTCGAAGTGGAAACAAAACATTAGTTGAACGAAATAAGCAAGAACTTAATCAAAATGGCACATTCGTACTTTCAATGAAATGTTTAATTGTAAATGCAGCAATGCATCCTACATAAACAGCCTTTTTGTTTTTCACAGAGCAATTTACCCCTAAGTGTACCTTTGGACCTCCCAACACACTGGATGCTTGTTGCAGAAAAATGGATATCATGAATATGACATTAATAAGTCAGCAGGAGAAATTTATTACCACTATGAAATCAAATACTTACAAGTATGATTGGGATATTTGGATCATTGATGATAGCAAGAGTCATGTCCACATTCCAGACAGGGTTGCAATTATCCTTGACAACTGGAGACTTCACTTTCTGCAATAAAGACTTTCCCCAATCACAAACCATTTCACAAACTTCCCTTATGTCAACATGACGCATCCATGCTTAGATATACAACAATATCTGAAGGGCAAGAATATCAAGCCTCACAGAACCTTAAAGTCTCTTGGGAGCTTTTCTTGAAACCCAGCTTTGTTTATCTTTTTTTACAGGTCTGCCTGTTTTTAGTGTGGCCCTAATCATTTAATGATCAAACCACGTTGAAAATTCGTTGCAGTAGTGAAGTCTTTAACTAAGTATTATCAACAGTAGAAAGATGAGAGCTGAAAAGATATAAATCAGAGGCAAATAAATGTTTAGTAAATAATAATTAAATCCCGCATTCAAATTCTTTTTAAAGATGGTTTAACTGGAGGAAAATGCAAATAAATTACAAGAATAGCAACACAAATTACCCAATCACAAAACATGGCCAATAACTTGAAGAGGAAGAACTATTAAACTATGATTAATGGGCATTTGTTGTGAATTTCTGCCTATTGGAGACGAAGGTGAAAACCCATAGGGATCTTCATGATATGGCGTAGGTTATTTCAAGCTTTTAACCAAAGGTCTGCACTATCGATCTCAAGTCCCAACCTTGAAAAATGCAGCTAACTTAATCCTGCACTACCGATCTCAAGACCCAACTATATGACTATTTCTATCTGTTATTTTTCATATATATTATAAAAATATTATGTACGCAGTATATTCCAAAGAGAAACAAAAAATCTATATCGAATTACATTTAAATTAGAAACGAATATATGTAGACGAAATAATCTCAAAGAGAAAAAAAAAGGACCTGATTTCCCATCGTGATTACAACATATGGATCACTGCTACGCGTATCCCTGACGGCAAGATTGATGCCTCTGCAAACATGGATTTTCAGAAGACCCAAAAACTCCATTTTTCATTAAAATCAGAATTAAAATCTAGGGATGTTATCTTTAAAAAAATGGCTCCTGTGCTTGTTTAGATGATCGAGAGAAAATACCGACCGAAATTGTTAAAAAAATCTTTTAGAGTAAACATAACATTTATCTTCAAAAAAAAAATTACTCCGTATATATTTTTATCTTCAAAATAAGGGTTTGTACCATAATATTATGACACTGTAAAGTTACATCCCACTGTATTTTTGTGTGTTATATATTGACATTAATGGCATTGTAATCTTACTTTTGAAATAAAAACACGATGCTCATATTTTGTACTTTCTCAATTTTTACTCCTAATTTAGTTTTTCTCTCTTTTTGGGTCTATCTTTTGTCAACTTTGGTTTGTATATTTTCATTGGTTATTTGATGAAATTAATCATCTTTATTACCTCGTGTTTTGTACTAGTAGAATTTTTGACATAATTTTAAATATGTAAATCTTATTAAACGTTTTTAAACAAATTGTTAAATAAGTTGATTTAAAAAATGCGGGGTTTTACTTCTTAAATGAGAAATTGAAATCTGATTTAAGACGCATGGAGAAGAAAATAATCGACGCAGTTCTAACAATTGAAGCCACAGCCTGACCCACATGCGTAATAGAAATTATCCTAAATAGAACTAAAACATGGAGAAAAGTACCAAAATAGGACTTTCATGTTTTTTTTCCCGGGATAGGACTTTGTATTGTGGTAATGTGACTTTGCATTGTAGTAATGTGGCAGTGTGCATGTGCAAATTACTATACTTTCTTGGTAATGTATATGACCATGTTTAGTAATGTAAGTCCTATTTCGGTAATAAAAACATGGAAGTCCTATTTTGGTATATCTTCAATGTTTTAGTCCTACTTTGGTCTTTCTCCCCATGCGTAACTGTGGGTTTTTATCCGACCGAGTCCACATGAGCAATAAGTTCTAAATAATTAAAAAATTATTTTTTAAATAAAATAATGTGTTAATATATTAAATCTTGATATACTTGTTGAATATGTGAGCCCTAGAGGCCAATCTATATTTATGTTTCTGAATATTTATCAAGAATAAAAGACCCTAAAGATTGGTTATGCATCTCGTGTATCTAAACATAGCTTTAGTCCATAGACTTAGCGCTCTTATAGCATAGATTAGAAATACGATGTTCTGATTATGAGGCTGTTACATTTACAGAGGCTATGTCTAAAATATAATGATAATACAAACATCATAATATATTACGACTAATACGTATGAGACAAGATAGTTGCGTCTCATATGCTATGGATATTGAGATATCTTAATCTATACGTAAGTACATATCTGGAGATCAGATATGGTACTGGATTGACCCACCATGAGAAGACTACATTGGTAATATTTTAATGTGTTAGTAGTATTCTCATTCGACCGTTGGTATAACTATCCTCAAATTTTAAGTCATTGTTAGTCGGTTTAAGTCGTTGTGCCCACGCCTTAGAGTGGGACGGTGAATAAGGCGTTTAAAATCTTTTCGGAGTTTGATAAAAAAAGTGTTGGTAAATGCGGAAGCAATATATAAAACGCAGAAATAAAAGCGTAAAGTAAAAGACACCGATTTTATACTTGTTCGGGAACTCCCTACTCCAGTACCTCGAGGCTCCTCCTCAAGGATTTCCAAATCCACTAAGTCCCGGTCTCTTGAACTCTGTTAAAGCACTGCACTAGTTTGGCAAACAACCCTTGCCAATAGGATTCACTCTGAGATTTTACAACGGCTATCTTGAACCGTTTACAACGAAGATTTAACGGCTATCTTCTACCGTTTCCCCAAGGATTTCAAAGGCTATCTTTGAACCTTTACCCTAGGATTTATACGGCTATCCTTAACCGTTACAACGTGAGAATTTAACGGCTATTCTCGACCGTAAGAAAATGTGTTTGAAGAACACAAACAAAGGTTCTACCCAACGGCTAGAATATAAAAATGAAGAACAAAACTTACCCGGTGTAAAAGGAAATTATACTCTCTCAAAAATACAATACAGACTTATGAATATGAGCGTATATAACTAGAAACACAAGCTCAAAGTGTGTGTATAAAAATCAGGAATTTAAGGCTCTTGAAATAGCCAAAATATTGAAAATAATGAATAAATGAATGAACACACTTAGAATATAAATGGAGGATGTTTGGAGCTTTGTTTCTTGTTAAAATATGAAGTATAAGGCTTGTATTTATAGTGGAAGGTGTTAACTAGCCGTTGGGAGGTGATTGGGGTTAAATTAAATTCAAATTCAGCAATCAAGAATAGTACCTCCAACGGTTACGGTACCGTGTCACGGTAGCTAGGTACCGTACGGTAGCTAGGTATCTTCTCAGGCCAAAACTCTCTGGCGATACTTGTCCTCTTACGGTACTCCTTCCGGTAGGGGGGTCCCGGGCTGACGGTAGGGGGTACCTTCTCAGATTGACTCATGGTACCCCTCACGGTACCTAGGTACCTTTTAGATGTTTGAAAATGATTATAAAAGGGTTTTAAACATATTTTTTGAGTGTTTTTGAGCTTGTGAATATAGGTATATAAAATCATATCCTTACATCGGGTTCTACCTATATTCTACGCTAGACTTAGCAAACCAAGGCTAACAATCTCCCCCTTTTGATGTTGACAAACAATATATTTCAAAGTGAGTTAGGAGGGAGTAAAATAATGAAGCAAGCAAGCTCCCCCTTAGAATAAACATATTGAAAATACTCACTTCGTACTTTTTCTTCTGTTTATTAAAAGTTTAAGTTTGATGCAAATAATCACCCAAGAATGCTCTCAAGTCAAGTTGCATATGCACCACTTTGAAGTTTACATCTTTTCTCCCCTTTTGTCAAAATCAAAAAAGGGCATATTGAAAATATAAAAATGTATGACTTCTTGAAAATCCTGCCCCTATCAAAATGAATTTTCTAGAAATAATGATAGTTTGGAGATCATTGGGTAAAGGTACATTTACAACAAAACTCCCCCTAAAAACGAAAATTCCCCCTAAAATGTTGCAAGTTTAAAAACTTTATTTTTTTTAGGGATTTTTGGGAATTATTTTCTAAAAGGCATGATTTAAAGATGCAATTTAAAAAAAATATTTAATCATGCAAACCAAGGCTAAAACAAATTAAAGCACATGTGGGATAAGGTTTTATTTTTGTAAAACAATTAAAAACAAACAAAATATCTTACCCCAATAAGTACAAGGAACTTACCTTGGCTTATGCCGCTATTTCTTCGGCTTGGAAGGTTTATAGTATTCTTTTTCTTTTGATTTTCTCCTTCTTGAGTCTTCATAAAATTTCCATTGGAGAAAACTCTTGTATTTCTTCCTCATTTCTCTTTCTTTGTCTTCTTCATCACTTGATGAATTCGAGTCATCGGATGTTTCATCCATTTCACTTGACTCATCACTTGAGTCACTTGAGTCTTCACTAGACTCCTCCTTGGATGCCTTGAACGCATTGGTTCGTTTCGGGTCTTCTCTTAAATATTCTTCTTTCATCTTAATCAACAAAAGCTTGTGAGAATACAAAGAAGACCAAATGTGGGCAGTGCTTTCCGTTGCACATTTGGGTAAAAGATCTACAATGCTATTATGCCATTCTTTTGTCAAAGAAAGTAAAATTTTAGTATTTAATTCACTTGTAGAATATTCTTTACCCAACTTACCCAACTTGTTGATTATTTCATTGAACCTTCTATTGGCATCTTGGATTGACTCGTGTTGGCCAACTTTGGAACTTTCATACTCCGAGTTCTGAGGGCCAACATGGTTTGCTTTGTTGATGTGTCGCCTTCATGCGTGGCTTGAAGCAAATCACATACCTCCTTGGCCGTTTTGCATGAGCATACTCGTGCAAATTCATCGGGGCTGAGAGAGCAATGGAGGATGTTGATTGCCTTTGCATTCATGGATAACTTTCTCTTATCCTCCGAAGATAATCCTGCAAGATTACCACTACTCGACACAAGTGGCCCGTGAAGTACATTTAACCACAAATCAAAATCAATGGATTGTATAAAGTATTCCATCCGCATTTTCCGATAAGATTAATTTTGGCCATTGAAAAACGGAGGACGGTGAAGGCTTTGGGAATCCATTGTAGCCATTTTTCAAAAAAAATGAATTTTGAAAATCGGGGATAATAAACTTTTGATATTTTAAAAAATTATATTTAAAAAGGGCACAACGGGTAGATCTTTGTCGTAGACGCGGTTAAGCACTTTCAACTACGGAACTGCTCTGATACCACTTATTGGTCAATTTTAGTTGTTGTGCCCACGCCTTAGAGGGAGGGGGGGTGAATAAACGTTTAAAATATTTTCGGATTTTGATAAAAATGGTGTTGGTAAATGTGGAAGCAATATATAAAACGCAGAAATAAAAGCGTAAAGTAAAAGACACCGATTTTATACTGGATTGGAAACTCCCTACTCAAGTACCTCGAGGCTCCTCCTCAAGGATTTCTAAATCCACTAAGTCCCGGTCTCTTGAACTCTATCAAAGCACCGCACTAGTTTGGCAAACAACCCTTGCCAATAGGATTCACTCCGAGATTTCACAACGGCTATCTTGAACTGTTTACAACGAAGATTTAACGGCTATCTTCTACTGTTCCCCCAAGGATTTCAAAGGTTATCCTTGAACCACTACCCAAGGATTTATATGGCTATCCTTAACTATTATAACGTGAGAATTTAACGACTATTCTTGACCGTAAGAAAGTATGTTTGAACGGGTAACATGTAAATTATTATTACCCAAATCAAACAAATACAACAATGTCAAAAGCTTAACCACAAAGGTGGTTACTTGCTTAAAGTTACAACTATACACATAAAGAAGTTACAACTCAAGTGTAACACATACAAATACAAACACAATCTAACCAAGACCAAGATTAGAAGATTGCCTTAAAACAGTTAAAGGCAAAACAACATATCCATTACATCAAAAAAAACAAAAAAAACAAAAAAAAAACAATTTGGTACAAGTGTACACGAGCATCATCATCCAATAGAGGCATACTCATGGGGTATGCACCACATCACATGCAAAACCAGAGCGAGTTCATAATGTCAATGGCATCCAGTGTGCATTTGGCAAGAAGCATCAGGACTGATCCACATTACATACATAAAATCATAGGAACCAACACCACAGCACCACAGTTCCATATAAAGCCAGCCAGGTAGAAGACAAAGATGAAGAACCATTGATGTAGCCCTAAGGTTGGAATCTTCCACCTTGGCTATAGGCTCAAAATCAACTTCACAGTAGGGGTAGATCCATCAGAGGTTCAGGAGCACCAAAGGACCATTTGCGCTGAATAAAACCAAGTCAAACATGTCTCACACAAATGAGATAAGGTGGAGTCCACTCAGGCAGTAGGTGATGGCACTCCATCCTGAGGAGAAGGCTCTTAAAACAAAGACAGAACCAAACTATCTAGATCACACACAAAAACATCCAAGGGGAGAACCATAAATGAGGGGGAAATCACACCAGTTTGTAGTCACTCAACCAAAAGAGGGGTATAAGTGAGTGCATCATGGTGTGTTTCCAGAGACAGAAGAAAGAGGGTGAAGATTGAGAAGGAAGCAAAGGAGGGGAGGAAGCAAGAGGAGGAAGAAGGGGAGAGAGGGGGGAGAAAGAGAAGAAGAGGTGTGAAACACCACCAAACCAGGACCCAAATCCACCTCTACCTACCCAGAAGGGGTTAGCAAAGATTGGTTTGTTTCCTCACCACCCCAACAGTCCAAAAACCAAAGGGGCCCCAACCCACCCAACACTGGATGGAAGACACACCAACTTTCANGGGAGAGAAAAGAAAGGAGAGAGGGTGTAAAACCCACCAACCCAGGATCCAAGCCATTCCCTACCTATCCAGAAGGGGTAGATAGAGTATGGTTTGTTTCCACACCCCAATAGCACCCAAACTATCAGGAACCCAACCACCCAGAGGGAGAGGGGCCAAGTTAAACTAACAGGCATCAAATCTGAAGAATGATATGGCACATGTTATTTAACTTGTCTACTAGAAAAGTGGGAGGAGAAGGAAGGTAGTGGATAAGAAAAGAGGGAAAAGGAGAGAGAGAGAAAGCCATGGACCCAAGCCAATCTCTACAATTCCAGAAGGGGATTGCATAGCCTGGTTTGTTTCCCACCAACTCACCACCCCAAGGACCCATAACAAAGGTTTGAGACCCTCCAAGAAGGGTTTCTAACATTTGGAATGTTTCCAGCCCCAAAGATCTGGACTTAGGGATAAAACCAGTTACCCATAGGGTCCCCAGTGTTATTCCTGCGTCCAAGCTCCAACCAAGGTATAAGTCCCAACCAATCCTCAACAAGGAAAGGGAGAGGCCAGCACAAAGATCACAAACAGCATCCAGGAAATGTCCAAAACAGTAAGCTCCAAGGAGGGGGAGCCAAATTAAACACCATTGGGGTATAATTTGTTCATAATTTTAAAAACCCCCAACTTGATCTTGCACACAATAGCATCAATGTTGATGGCCCGGTTGTCAAAGTACACACCATTCTTGAGTCTCCAAATATGGTAGGCTGTGCTAAGAATAGCCAGCCTTATCATCTTCCTCCTGGAGCAGTGGTTATTCCTTAGCCTCCTTAGCTAAGTAAGGGCTCTGTCCAGGGTAGACAGGGCAGGTGCAATCTCAAGCCATGATCTGACAGCATTCCAGATGAGTGTGGAGGTTTCACAGATGAAGAAAAGATGCTGGGCAGTTTCCTCCTCCTTGTGGAAAAGTTCACATGTTCTGTTCTCCATGGCAATGAAATGAAGGCTAGTTTTGGTAGAGATTCTGTTACGAAAGATCAACCAAGCACAGAAGGAATATCTAGGTGGGATGTAAGGTTTCCAAATTGCCTTCATCCAGGGCCTCATCTCTGCATTGGTTCTAAGTAAATCATATACCTTGGCAATTGATATATCCCCCATCCAATTCACAAAGCTGGTTTTCAAGTTCCCAGCTGTCCCACACTTGAGTAGCAACAAGTCTCTGATTTCAACCAGTTTCTTGAAAAAATGAGTCCTTTTTCCCAGGGCTCCATGTCCAAAAGTCATTGCCATCAAGGTAAATAGAATGAACCCATTGCACCCAAAGGGTTTCCTTGTTAGAAGCAATATTCCAAAGATTCTTGCTCAAGAGTGTCTGATTCCAAATCATGGGCTGATTCAGTCCAAGCCCCCCTTCATCCTTGGGTTTGCAGATGTCCTCCCAAGCAACCTTACAGAACTTGCTCCCCCAAAGGAAAGTTCTACAAAGGGAGGTTATCCTATCCAAGATAGACTTATGAATAGGGAAGGCTTGAAACCAGAATCCCTCAATTCCTTGGATAACAGCTCTGATGAGTTCCAATCTACCAGCAGCAGATAGGGTTTTGGCATTCCATTTTCTGATATATTCATCCACCTTAGTCACAAGTGGGGAAAAGTCCCTTTCAGAAGCTCTCTGTGAAGTAAGAAGGAGTCCCAGGTATCTAACAAGCAGTTTACCCTGAGGGAAAGACACCAAAGCTAAGATATCCTCTTTCTTGTCTTTGATCTCTCCAGCCAAAAAGATATTGGATTTGAGAGGGTTAACATGCAAGCCAGATACTTGGGAGAAGATTTTGATAGCTTTAGCCAACACATTGACATAATCCACATTACCCCTGCAAAACATCATCACATCATCAGCAAAAGTAATATGGGTAATACCCAGTTTGGAGCACCTGTTGTGAAAAGTGAATATGCTCCCATAGAGCATTCTCCTGATCAGCCTTGAGAAGTATTCCATGCAGAAAAGGAACAGTGTTGGGCCATGGGGTCACCCTGTCTAATGCCTCTTTTACATTTAATGAAGTCATGCAAGCCTCCATTAATAGAAAGTGAGAAGGAGGTAGTGGTGACACACTCCATGACCCAGTTCACAAACTTGGAGGGGAAGCCAATTCCCTGAAGTGTATTCCTCAAGAAGTCCCATGAGATTGTGTCATATGCTTTTGAAATGTCCAGCTTTAGCATACAGCAAGGGGGTGATCTCTTTCTAGCATACCCTCTAACCAGGTGTTGTACCAAGAGAATGTTGTCCACAATGCTCCTGCCCTTAATGAAGGCAGCCTGGGCAGGATTAATGAGATTTGGAAGCAGTCCAGCCATTCTGTTAGAGAGGATTTTAGTGATTATTTTATAGACCACATTTGAACAAGCTATGGGTCTATAATCTTTTGCACTAGGATTCTCCCTGACCTTAGGAATGAGGACAACCAAGGCATGATTAATCTGTTTAAGGAGTCTCCCACTCAAAAAGAACTCAGAAACAGCATCAACAATAGTATCACCATAAATATCCCATTTCTTTTTTAAGAAGGCAGCAGTATAGCCATCAGGACCTGGAGCCTTATCATCACCAATGCTGAAGAGGGCTTCTTTGACTTCAGTTCTATCCACATTACTGACCAAGTCAATAGCATCCTGGTGTTGGATAAGGGGCCCCTCTTTAAACACATTCCAATCCATAGGGGTATTAGGGACTGTATTACCAAAAATCTGATTGTAATACCCAATGAATTCCTCAACAATAGCCTCCAAAGAAGTAGTAGTAGTTCCTTGGGATGTAATCAAAACAGGGATGGAATTCATAATACTTTTCTTCTTAACCATTGCATGGAAGAACTTGGTGCATTTATCCCCTTCATTAATAAAGTTGCACTTCACCTTTTGTTGGAAAAAGGATCTTTCTGCATCAGAGTAGAATGAGGCTTTCTTCCTGGTAGTAGCAACTAGATGGAGTAATTCCAATTTATCAGGGTCCTTGTATAACTTATCCATGAGATCAGTATAAGTCTTTCTAGCCTCCTCAGCCCTAGAAGAGATATGTGCAAAGTCCTTTTTATTCAGCTGTTTGAGGGGCTGCTTCAGCAGCTTCAGTTTTCTGCAGAGTCTAAACTGTCTAGTACCATTAAACCTCATATCCCATACATGTTTCAAAGTATTGTCATAGGAGTCATGATTAAGCCACATGTTGAAGAATTTAAAGGGTTTAGGGCCTTGGGTAGAAGTTTGGATGAGGTGGAGCAGAACAAGACAGTGGTCAGATTGGAACTCCATGGCCTTAAACTCAGCCCAACAATCCCGCTGGAGAGCCTCCCATTCACAATTCACCATCACCCTGTCCAATTTGGCCCATTTGTTGCCTTTGTTCCAAGTGAAGTGAGTTACAGTAGCCTTAGCATCAATCAGATCATTGTTGAGTTTAAACTGTAACAAATCAGTCATATCATAAGCATAGGTGTGGCAGTTTAGTCTCTCACTGGAGTTCTGGACTGAGTTAAAATCTTCCATAATTGCCCAGGGGGTCTTGATATTCACAGCAAGATCAGAGATTCTTTCCCAGAGTTGTCTTCTAACAGTTACATTTATAAAGCAAAAACAAATGTAATATGGAAGCATTTCTAGGAAACATTACACAAAATTCTACAATGGATAAACTGATCAGCAACTTCCAAAACAGTGCAAGTAACAAAAAGTGGGTTCCATATAACAGCCATTCTCCCATCATCAATCATAGCAAAATTATCAGTTGAAGACCAGGATGGGAGTTTGTTATGGAGGAAAAGTTTAAACTTGGCTTTAGACATTTTGTTTTCCAGAATACAACCTAAGTGCACGCCAAGGTCCAAAATATATTTACACAAAAAGTTTTGTTTAGAGGGCCTATTAAGCCCCCTAAAGTTCCAACAGAGTACCTTCATCAAGAGTTAGGGACAGGGCCCCTTCCCCTACCTCTGTTAGTACCCCCCCTATATCCATGGTTGTGTCCACGTCCACTGCTACTAGTTTCCCTTCTGAATTGTGGGTGTTTGTTAACATTGTTGAAGTTTGCTTCCTTTAGCGGATGTGTAGTGAGAGAACCTCTGCCCTTTCCCACAAGTGTGAAACCATCATTGTCATCCTTTTTAGAGAAGGAGGGTGAGGGTTCATTGGGGTCAGCTGGTTTCTCCCCACCTTTAGTACCTTCCTGAAACAAAGGTTGTACACAACGGCTAGAATATCAAAATGAAGAACAAAACTTAGCCGGTGTAGAAGAAAATTATAATCTCTCAAAAATACAATACAGAGTTATGAATATGAGCATATATAACTAGAAACACAAGCTCAAAATGTGTGTATAAAAATCAGGAATTTAAGGCTTTTGAAATAGCCAAAATATTGAAAATAATAAATAAAAGAATGAACACACTTAGAATATAAATGGAGGATGTTTGGAGCTTTGTTTCTTGTTAAAATATGAAGTATAAGGCTTGTATTTATAGTGGAAGGTGTTAACTAGCTGTTGGGAGGTGATTGGGGTCAAATTAAATTCAAATTCAGCAATCAGGAATAGTACCTCCAACGGTTACGGTACCGTATCACGATAGCTAGATATAGTACGGTAGCTAGGTACCTTCTCAGGCCAAAACTCTCTAGTGGTACCTATCCTCTTACGGTACCCCTTCCGATAGGGGGGTCCTGTCTTGATGCTCGGGGGGTCCCGGGATGACGGTAGGGGGTACATTATCATATTGACTCACGGTACCCTTTCCGGTACCCTCACGGTACCTAGGTACCTAGTGACCATTTTGATATTTTTTTCATTTTTGTCCAAATCGTTTCCAAACTTGTTGTAACCTTTTGGATGTTTGAAAATGATTATAAAAGGGTTTTAAACATATTTTGTGAGTGTTTTTGAGCTTGTGAATATAGGTATATAAAATCATATCCATACATCGGTTTCTATTTATATTCTACGCTAGTTTAGTGTTTCGACTTCATTCTTGAGAACCGAATCTTAATGGATTCTTGGTGTACCTGAAACACTTAAACAAACATTAAGCTCTTATATTGTTTGTTAACATCAAAACACGAGGCTTAGAAAACCAAGGCTAACAATCATTACGATCTTTGATATGCTAACCTATATACTTTGATTCATATCTAATGCCATCAGATATACTAGTGGACGTACAATTATATTTTGGATATGTAGTTAAGCATATGCAAAGGCGTGAATGATGTAGAAAGAATTTATCCCTTCCATTGTGTTGAAGTGCAATGTCTTCGGGCCCTCTGATTGATGTGACTTGGGAAGTGCATGGCCATGCCCAGATAATTAAAATATGTGATATTAATGTGATCTGAATCCCACAAGTCCATCTGAAAATCAGTAAACCAAAGATTTGACTTTAACAAGGTTACACTTCTCATACCTTGTGTTAAATCTAGACATTAGTGATAAAGGGATAAGAGTTGTACAAATGATATGTGTTGTTGGATTTATTGTTCTAATGAACTTTATGTTTAATAACATGGATATCGATAATGTGTTGCTAGATACCGCTTACTGTTTATAGCATTAATTGTGATTAATGCTATTGCCATCATTATGAATACCTAGAAGGAGTAGAAATTAAATGGAATGACGTGAAATAATATGGGACGTGTGACGTGCATATTAAATAAATATGTTGACATTCTAATTATGTGATAATTAAGTTTGTCAAATATTATATGTGATATTATATATATATATATATATATATATATATATATATATAGGGATCTCACTGGAGTTAATCCCATATATATATATATATATATATATATATATATATATATATATATATATGGGATTGACTCCAGTCAGATGACATCTTTCGGTCAGATGACATGCTTCAGAATGAGCACCACCTTGTTTGAGAATGAGCACCACCTTATTTCAGAATGAGCACTACACTGAGCAGACTGTGAATGAGTACTACGTTTATAACGAACAAATGTGTGAAAATCAACCCTACAATGTCTTAGAATGAACACTACGTGGATTCCAAATGAACCATATGTTGTCGTCTCGCTGGCTTGGAATGAACACTCCATTGTGATGAACAGTTGTGTGAGAATGAATCCTACGTTGTTTAAGAATGAGCGCTACATTGATTCAGAATGAGCCATACGTTGTCATCTGACCGAAAGTGTCATTTCACCGAAACATGTCATCTGCCTGGAGTCAATCCCATATATATATATATATATATATATATATATATATATATATATATATATATATATATAGGGATTGACTCCAGTCAGATGACACTTTCGGTCAGATGACAACGAATGCTCATTCTGAATCAATGTAGTGCTCATTCTTAAACAACGTAGGATTCATTCTCACACAACTGTTCATCACAATGTAGTGTTCATTCATAGCCAGCGAGAAGACAACATAGGGTTCATTTTGAATCCACGTAGTGTTCATTCTAAGACATTGTAGGGTTGATTTTTACACATTTGTTCATTATAAACGTAGTACTCATTCTGAAAGAACCTAGTACACATTCACAGTCTGCTCAGTGTAGTGTTCATTCTGAAATAAGGTTGTGCTCATTCTCAAATAAGGTGGTGCTCATTCTGAAGCATGTCATCTGACCGAAAGTGTCATCTGACCGAAAGATGTCATCTGACTGGAGTCAATCCCATATATATATATATAGGGATTGACTCTAGTCAGATGACATGTTTCGGTCAGATGACACTTTCGGTCAGATGACAACGCATGGCTCATTCTGAATCAATGTAGCGCTCATTCTTAAACAACGTAGGATTCATTCTCACACAACTGTTCATCTCAATGTAGTGTTCATTCATAGCCAACGAGACGACAACATAGGGTTCATTTTGAATCCACGTGGTGTTCATTCTAAGACATCATAGGGTTGATTTTCACACACTTGTTCATTATTAACGAAGTACTCATTCTGAAACAACCGAGTACTCATTCACAATCTGCTCAGAGTAGTGTTCATTCTGAAATAAGGTGGTGCTCATTCTCAAACAAGGTGGTGCTCATTCTGAAGCATGTCATCTGACCGAAAGATGTCATCTGACTGGAGTCAATCCCATATATATATATATATATATAGGGATTGACTCCAGTCAGATGACAAGTTTCGGTGAGATGACACTTTTGGTCAGATGACAACGTATGGCTCATTCTGAATCAATGTAGCACTCATTCTTAAACAACGTAGGATTCATTCTCACACAACTGTTCATCACAATGGAGTGTTCATTTCAGAAAAACATAGTGTTCATTCCAAGTGAGGCAATCGAGAACATAGGGTTCATTTTGAATAACATGATGTTCATTCTCAAACAATGTAGAATTCATTCTCACACATTTGCTCATTATAGACTTAGTTCTCATTCTTAAATAACATAGTACTCATTCCCAGTTTTCTTAGCAAAGTGTTCATTCTAAAACAACATAGTGCTCATTCTCAAACAAGCTAGTGCTCATTCTGAAGCATGTCATCTGACTGAAAGTGTCATCTGACTGAAACATGTCATCTGACTGGAGTCAAACCCATATATATATATATATATATATATATATATATATATATATATATATATATATATATATAGGGATTGACTCCAGCTAGATGACATCTTTTAATCAGATGACACTTTCGGTCAGATGACATGCATCAGAATGAGCACCACCTTGTTTGAGAATGAGCACCACCTTAATTCAGAATGAACACTGCACTGAGCAGACTGTGAATGAGTACTATTTTCTTTCAGAATCAGTACTACGTTTATAATGAACAAATGTGTTAAAATCAACCCTACAATGTCTTAGAATGAACACTACGTGGATTCAAAATGAACCGTATGTTGTCGTCTCGCTGGCTATGAATGAACACTACATTGTGATGAACAGTTGTGTGAGAATGAATTCTTTGTTGTTTAAGAATGAGCACTACATTGATTCAGAATGAGCATTCGTTGTCATCTGACCGAAAGTGTCATCTTACCAAAACATGTCATCTGACTGGAGTCAATCCCATATATATATATATATTCACTCAGAGGGGGAAGATATAGTGTTCATAGATTCTAAGCTCAAACCTCTACAAATCGACCTATCAAGATGCTCCAAGCACTCCCTCCATCTGCGCAAGGAACACAAGGGCAGAAGGACATTCTCCCCATCACAAATGGTTACTAGAAGTAAGGCTAGACTACTGGAAGTTGGGAGAAGAAACATTCCAATTGGCTGGGAAGAGGAAGAAGACCTGTTTGACCCACAAGAATCCCACGAAGAAGAGGTTATCAAATTCTTCCAGCTTTGTTGTCCTAACAAACAAGATGAACCTAAACCTCTTGGGAAATCAAATAGCAAAGTTCAGAAAAAGAAAATGAAAAAGAACAAAAAGAAACAGAGCAAGGTGTTGGAAAATGGGTACGAGGATGAGATCTTGGAACTAGACTATGCTTATTAGTTGTTAAGCAGTGTATCCGAGTTAACTTTAGATTCTGATGATATTATCGTTTCTTTTTCAATTCTATGATCTTGAACTTGCTAAAGCTGGGTATTTAGTCATGGTGCTACTGCTATTCCAGCGATATATATATATATATATATATATATATATATATATATATATATATATATATTTATATATATAGGGATTGACTCCAGTAAGATGACACCTTATGGTGAGATGACATGCTTCGGTCAGATGACGCAAAGCTCACCACTGCCAACTACAAAGCTCACCAACTTGTAAGGCAAAGCTCACCATATTTTTTCAACGCTTTGAATTTTTTTTTGAAAAAATAAAATCAAAGAAAGGGGTGCTGACTGGACTTTGACCATTGACCGAGACCTTTGACCGCCACTTGCCGCCGCCGGACACCGCTGGTCGCCGGAATCTGCCGCCACCGCTGGTCGCCGGAATCCGCCACCGGCCGCCGGTCACCGGAATCTGCCCCCACCACCGGTTGCCAGAAACTGCCGCCGCCGCCGAACACCTCCGGTCGCCGGAATCTCCCCCCACCACCGGTTTCCGGAAACCTCCGCCGCCGCCAGACACCGCCGGTCGCCGGAATCTGCCGCCGCCGCCGGTCGCCGGAAACCGCCGCCGCCAGAATCCTCCACCGGCCGCTGGCCGCCGGAATCTGCCCCCACCACCGGTTGCCGGAAACCGCCGCCGGTTGCCGGGAACCGCCGCCTGCCGCCGCCACTGCCCGCCGCCGGTCGCCGGCAACCGCCGCCGCTGACCGGTGGTTGACCGGTGTTGCTATTTTACTTTTTATTAATTTTAAATATTTAAATTTAAAAAAAGGTGAGTTTTGGTATTCAAAGTGGTGAGCTTTACTTTATTTCTAGGTGAGCTTTGTATTGTCAATTGGTGAGCTTTGTAGTGTAGTGTGGTGAGCTTTGCATCATCTCACCATAATATGTCATCTCACTAGAGTCAATCCCATATATATATATATATATATATATATATATATATATGGGATTGACTCCAGTCAGATGACATCTTTCGGTCAGATGACACTTTCGGTCAGATGACATGCTTCAGAATGAGCACCACCTTGCTTGAGAATGAGCACCACCTTATTTCAGAATGAACACTACATTGAGCAGACTGTGAATGAGTACTAGGTTGTTTCAGAATGAGTACTACGTTTATAAAGAACAAATGTGTGAAAGTCAACCCTACGATGTCTTAGAATGAACATTACTTGGATTCAAAATGAACCCTATGTTGTCGTCTCGCTAGCTATGAATGAACACTACATTGTGATGAACAGTTGTGTGAGAATGAATCCTACGTTGTTTAAGAATGAGCACTACATTGATCCAGAATGAGCATTCGTTGTCATCTGACCGAAAGTGTCATCTGACCGAAACATGTCATCTGACTAGAGTAAATCCCTATATATATATATATATATATATATATATATATATATATATATATATGTATGTATGTATGTATGTATGTATGTATGTATGTATGTATGTATGTATGTATGTATGTATATAGGGTTTGGTTCTGGTGAGAAAGAGATCTAATGAAAGAAATAAGAATGAATATAAACCCTCCGATCTAATCAGATCTTAATATGATCTCCAGGGCATATGGGTCTTTTTACGGTCACAGTGATAAACGCTAAACATCGTTAAACATCCTCATCCTTGATTTCTCGCACACGATCGGATTCACTTTCCCCATTTCTCCATATCGGTTCCGCAGATATGAATTCCCTTATTTATCAACCTCTTAGTTTTACAAACCTCTCAATCGTTCGATTTTGGGATTCCAGCTGCTTCATCGATTCTTTATCATGGTTCCAGGTGTGTTTTTTTTGGTTTTGTTATGTTTAGAATTATGCAAATGTCATCTGGAATTTTTGCACGCCTGCTCGAGTTCGTAGGATTGATGTAAACATTTGTGTTGACTTCACGAATGCCTCTGCATTCGCGGTGAAATTACATGTAAACACTTGTGTTGTTCAGAATTTTGCTGTTTGGTGTTCTCCTTTTCATTCATTCCCCGGCAATTCTCACAGCTTCATGAAAGTTTACTTCACAATTTTTTACACCTTAATCTTTTTATTTTTATTTTTATTACGCATTTTATGCAATGAGTATTGCACCTTCATGTCTGCTTACTGCATTAAATTTTATCCACTGATTTGGTCTCATGAATGCTTCTCTTATCATTCTCCAATTATTTGATATTATTTATTTTTTTGGAGTACTGTTCCGTGTCCTGTATTGCATATTCATGGTCTTCGTATGTTTGTGGTTTCTTTTCATTATGTTTTTGGTCAATTTCAAACACTTCATGAATTCATGCTCCATGATGTTGCAAACCCTTTGTGCTTATATATTCATATATGTCACTTTATTTCGCATTGTTTTACATCCTGTATTGTATAATCAGATATATGTAGTGCACTAATCAACACGTTTATCTCTCTATCGACAGTGCACACATCTACTTCTCCAAATGAAGACACACCCCATACAACAAAAACTATTTCTTCTTCATCCAACTTATTTATTCCTCCTTGCCCTGAAGAGTCCAAGCCTAAAATGGGAATGGTGTTCAAATCCTTGGAGGACGGATTTAATTTTTACAAGCAATATGCCTCACTGGCAGGTTTTGATATCCGCAAAAGCACTAATTTGAAGGTTTCAGGTGTTGTTGTTTGGCGGTACGTTGTATGCAACCGTGAGGGTAATAAACATTTTGCACCAATTGTTAACAAACCCACTCACGATGATGGAGTGCCAAAGGCAAAACAGGGGAGACGCATTTCAAATCGTGTTGATTGCAAGGCGCGTGTGGCGTTCAGGCTCGTGGCTGGTGTAGGGTACACCATATCGTCATTCATAGAAACGCATAACCATCCAATGTTGTCCATTCCATCTAGACCCTTTCTGAAAATCAACAGAAACTTAGAAATTGGCCATAAGAAGTTTATGTTGAATTGTGCAAAGGCGAACATTGGGCCAATGAAGTCATATAGATTGTTTAAGGAATCAGTTGGGGGCTACGATAATGTGGGTGCCACTGCCGTTGACTTCAAAAATTTCAAACGGGACTTGAAGGCATACATTGCAGGCGCTGATGCTCAAATGCTCATTGACAAACTATTCAGAAAGAAACAAACATGCTCTGCATTCCACTTTGATTACGATGTTGATGAGAGTGACCAGCTAACCAGGGTATTTTGGTGCGATCCTATCGCTAGGAAGAAGTTCGCAATGTTTGGAGACGTCATTTCGTTTGACGCAACCTTCAACACAAATAGGTATATTCTCTAATGCCTTCTGTTATGCCTATAAGAATAAGTATAATACTGTTAAACTAGCCCTGCCAATATGCGTTGCACACCTTCTGTTCTTTCATATTCTTACTATTTCGCATTTTTTGTAATCTGTACTGCATAATCATATTTACGTAACGCACTAAATATGCGTTTTCAGTGTTTGAACTACTTTGGTGATGGCGTGTTACCCGTGGTGCAGATACAAAATGGTTTTTACGCCATTCACCGGTGTAGACAACCACCGCAGGTGTGTTACTTTTGCAGCTGGTTTGCTGCGCAGAGAAGATGTTCCTTCATACACGTGGTTGTTCAATCGCTTCCTTGATGCAATGGGTCATGCCCCGCAATGCATAATCACTAACCAAGATGCTTCTATGGCTATTGCTATTCCAGAAGTATTCCCAAAGACAATTCATCGTCTCTGTATGTGGCATATTACGAACAAGATTACGGCCAAAGTTGACAATGAACTAGCCAAAGATCAGGTCTTCTTGACAAGGCTTAATTCTGTGATATGGAATCATTACTTTGAGCCCAAAGAGCGGGAAAAACAATGGCATGAGGTACTAGTTGACTATGAGCTCGAATCTGATTTATGGTTTTGTAATCTATTTGCTATTCGTACAAGTTGGATTCCTGCATACTTTAGAGATTTGTTCATGATTGGATTACTACGCACAACATCACGTTTTGAGAGCGAGAATAGTTTTTTTGGTGACTTCAAAAATAAGTACTTCACGCTTGTCGAGTTTTATCTGCAATTTGAAAGTGCTATGGACTCTCAACGGCATAAAACCGCAGACTTGGATTCAGACTCAGAAGCGTGTATCCCTGTTTACAAAACTCCGCTTGCCATTGAGAAACATGCATCATCTGTCTACACTTTGACCATCTTCTACGAAGTACAATCAGAGATATGTGCATCATGCTTCTCGTGTAGTGTGCTGCAAGTTGACAAGAAGGAGCATACGTTATCATATGTTGTGCAGGATTCCCGAGGTATGGTTTTCAACGTTGAACACTCCACCTTAGACGACTCTTTCTCTTGCACATGCAAATACTGGCAGCGCATTGGTCTAATGTGTAGACACATATTTTTGCTATTCAAGGTCTTGAAAATTAAGATGATTCCAGAACGTTATATCACAAATAGGTGGTGCAAATCACCACTCCTAAAGCCAATGATTGAAGTTTCTGGTCTGGACTTCGTATCGGAATCATCCCTTGACGAAAACAAATTAATGCTGAACCGCTTATGGTCTAACATTCACTCTTGTGTGGCTCTAATTGAAAACAATTCCGACTTATTATCTGCTTTCTCCAAGGTAATCTCTGAACAAAAGGAACTCATTGAATCGGCTATTGCCTCTCATGACGTTGATACTGGAGTACCTAATATCTTTGAAAATTACTATGGGGTGCCTGCTCCGTCAGAGATAAAATTGCTTCCACCTCAACCCGCGCACAACAAGGGCAGTGGTAAGCGCATCAAGAGTGCTAAAGAGATCCAAATCGAGCAAAGCAAGAAGAACAAACGCATGTGTCGAACTTGCAAAGAGCTAGGATATCACGACAGTAGGAATTGTTCGATGAATTATTCGTCATAATTAAATCATCTTCCTACACACATCTTATAAGTTTTTGTAATGTTTTCAACGTTCTTTATAACGTGACATGCCATTTGTTTGCCCATGACTTGTGTATTATTGCAATTTTGATTAATATAGTAATTACAAAATCATCAATGCACACACTTTTTGTATTTGCACTACATCTAAATCTACAGTTTTGATCCAATACTGCCCCACACACTTCTCATTCTATGGAACATACATTGATGGCTCTAAACATGTGTGGACCCCCATTAAACAAACTATAAATTGCACTAAATCAATTTCCGTCACGCACCAATAACAAAACACACGTAACAATTCCTTCACCAAACGAGTCCCAATAGATCGACTACTTGGAACGCCTCTTACTTATTCACCCAACTTGTAATACGTTTCACAGAAATCACCATTGCCAAAAACAGTACCTGTCACCAAACAGCTACTGGGTTGCACTAAAACAAATTCAGGACGCACCAATAAAACAAAATGCTGCATCAAATTCTGCACTAAACACTTTCCAATCGAAAAACATTCACCAGTTAAAATCATAATCCTCCCCCTAACAATATGTAAAATTCCAATGCAAAGAAACGGATTCACACAACAAATTGACGTCTAGTTAAGTCAATACTCAAATTCTTCATAAATACCAAAAAAATATGTCTATCTATGTTCATACTGAGGCAACCCCAGCTAGCAAAACGAACAAGCCAGGAACGACTCACTCAAGGGTTGCTCCATGAAACCAAAACTCAAAAGGATACGAAATTGACAATTCTAGAAAAAAAACAGAATAGATCATAATCCCCATGAAAAAGTCGTGCATCAGAAACATGAATTTGTAATCAAGTCATGTAGTCTTCAACCACTCGAGTGCTTCACCAGCTGCCTTATCTTGTCCTTAACCTCGTTGATATCTGATTCGACTATCGCAGCACAATACTTTGTACGAAGTGCATTCACCGCCCTCTCATCCCCCTTTTTCAAGCCACATTCCCACTACTTCAATGCCTGCCCTGTGTACGTCTCCATGTGCTGCATTTTAATCACACCATAATCGAATACAGCAGTCGAATCTCTCCACGCCAGTTGCAATCGTTTTGGTTCTTGCGTAATCAGTTTCCCGACCCAGCCATCCAGTCCTTTACTCTTGAAATATTTTACGACCATGTCTCGCTGCAATCAAAGGTATGCTAAAACATTACAATATGAATCACGTTTTTCACATCAGATTTTAGAATTGGCTTCATTTATAACATATGAGTATCCCACTTAATATTTTTGGTGACGTGCTATCAATTTCTACTTACAACAACGCTTGGCATAAAGTCATATTTATCAATCTTTGTAACTCCGGCTGATGAGCTGTCGAGAATATCAACCCTATTCCCCTTCAGGTTCACACATATGCAATAACACCAACGGTGTTGCATTACTGGGAAGAATATCTGCACGTTTAAGAACACACTACGCCAAAAACAGTATCAGACGACTGTTGATTAACTACTGTTTATGGAAACACAGTAGTTAGAAAAAAACAGACTACTGTGAGTTTTTCTTGGCTACCGAACAGAAATCTAACTACTATGCTTTAAAACTGTTTTTAAGGTTTGGAGAAACGGTAATCTATCACTAGTTGTCTGTGTGAGTTCAAAATACAGTTTTTGTTACAACAGTTGTCAATAACAAGTTAAGAATACTCTATTTAAGCAGTAGTATGGTGTTTTAGTCTAGAACTGTTTTAAAACTTATTAGAAACAATTATCTATCGCTAGTTGTCTGTTTCATATGATTTTTTTTCACCGTTGTTTCAAATGGGAATAGAAGACTCTTTTGTAATTGTAGTCTATGAAGTAAGGGTAGAACTGTTTTTAAAGTTTTGAGAAACGGTAATCTTTTATTAGTAGTCCGTTTCATCTAAAAATATAGTTTTTGTTGCCACAGTTGTCAAAAAATTAGTTAAGACTACTATTTCTAAACAGTAGTCTGGTTTTTTAGTTTATAACTGTTTTTAAACTTATAAGAAATAGTATTTTGTCGTAAGTTGTATGTTTCATATGGTTTGTTTTGCATAGTTGTTTATTATAAGAATAGAAGACTCCCTTGTAACAGTAGTATATTTATATAGCGTAGAACTATTTTTAAAATTCATAGAAACCGTAATATATTACAAGTTGTCTACAATAAATTAAGAATACCATTTTTAATCAGTAATTAGATTATTAAGCCTAGAACTATTTTTAAAGTTTTGAGAAACCGTAATGTATTACTAGTAGTGTGTGTCGCACCGTTTTTTTTCACGGTTATCTATAAATTATAATAAGTAAAGAAAACTATTTTTAAGAGAATTGTGCGTATTAAGCCTAAAACAATTTTAAAAGTTAAGAATACTCGTTTTAAACAGTAGTCTAGCTCTTAAGCCTAGAACTATTTTAAAGATTCAGAGTAATGATAATCTTTTTTACAATGAAGATGGATACGCTCTCTAACTTTACTTCCATACTTTCGGACAATATATGTACAAATCAAATAAATATTGTTTCAAACAATTATACGGACATGAAAAAATAAACACTTCCATTGAAACGAAAAAAAAAGTACATGGACAGCTGTCCCGCTACACACAAAGGGCATTGGGAACCCATACAATCAATCAATCTCACATTATAAAACCAAAAAACAATAAGAAGACGGCAAGATACAAATAAGAGTACACAAAATTTATTACAAACAAAACTAAGAGTACATTGGTTGCTTCAATCCAAAGTAGAAAACAAACAAAACAAAAAGAATGAAACTCCATATTCTAAAATTACTCAAATTAAAGAATAAAGACCAAATCTTCAAGGTATGAGTGCCAATTACACAAAGATTGGTTTTTATCCATGGTTTTACTCTCCCCAATGACTTAAGCTTGACCCATTGCCTTTCTGGAAGAGGGAACAACATCATCACCCCTCTTAGTCTTTCGCACTGCTGGTTGCTTGGCCTCCTGGATTTGGCATGACAGCATCTGTTAGGCATGTCGTAGCACCTACAAATTAATATTTTTATTTTCCTTAACTTAAATCCCCTTTATGAATTAATATTTAATACTTTTTTTACACTAAAAATCAAATTACTTTTTTCTTTTTTGTTGAATAAAAACAATTAAAACTAAGAGATAAGGGGGGATTTTAAAAACAAAGTTTAAAGGATAACATAAAAACTACTCTAAGTGACACACCACATCAGATCATATTCCAAAGCAACAAACTAAAGATAAAAACAGATTTCTTGTCCAGTAAGTCCTACTAGAATGAAGTAACTAGTTGATCATTACACCAGTCTTGATTAATCTCTCATACTACAAATCTATTAATAAAATGAAGGAATACCACGTTATGCTGCAAACTTTCCAGACTGTTTCATGTTATATTTTATGCCAAGTACTCACTGGACAGACCAAGAAAAACACACCAATATAAATTCTTAATCATAATTTAGTGAGGGAATCCCTTACTGGAGTTTGGACAGCAAGTCCTCTCCTTAAATTTGAAACAAAAGGCACACCAGAAACAAGACACAAACAATTCAATCACTAATATAACTCCTTCATGCAAATTGGCATATAGCAAACTTTGATTAACTTAAAAAAACTGCAAACTGCCATAATCCAGAAACTATATTGATAATGCTCATAAAGAATCTCTAATTTCTAATTTCAGAAGAGTATCACAAAAATCAGAGCTAAAGAAGTGAAATAGAATATAATAGGGTTCCACTAAAACTTGAAAAGCAAAGAGAAAACCATGAAAGAGAGCAAAGAGACGGGAACAAGAGGGGAAAGGGAGTCCTCAGGTCTATCGTACGCACGCAGGCTTCTTCCTCGGTCGCCTGATCCGTACACAACATGGCATGCTTTTTTTTCATATTTTAGTTGTTCTCTAAGAAATATCACATTCCCCATAAGTAAGTTTTAGAATGCTTGGATTTGTTATACTTAGATAACCTCAACAACTTGTAACAAAACATCAAAAAGTAAGTTTAGATATTTGGATTTGTTGTACTTAGATAACTCCATAAATTAAATAAAAATCATACTATCAGCCATCAATTTAGAGCAGAAAAAATCCTCATGCAAATGAAGTAAGGTATGACAAAAGTGAGTGTCCAGGAGGTTGAGGGAGGAGTGGAATGTTTACCAAGTCAGTATACCCAGGCAGCAATTCCAGCAGCAATGCACAGCCCAAAACCACAGTTTAATCCACTCCATCACCCCAAAAACAGCAGCATCCAGTGGGAAAGAGCAACTGATTCCAAACTCAGCTTCAACAGTCCATGGCAGCAGTAGTAGTGTAATACTGGAACAACGTCAAAATTAAAGGAGGCAACATGAACAATCAAGTACCTCCAATGCAAAACATCCATGGCTAAACATGTAAAGATAAACTACCACAAGACCATGTGCAAGCATCTAAACATGAACAATCATGATAATATAATTAAACGGAGTATGATTCTATTACTTTTCAATTAAGCATAGAAAAGTAGAAGTTTTCAATTGTTGAGGAAAGTGAACACTAGAAACAAGAATAGCCAGAAACTCAGTAAATGAACATAAATGGCTTTCTAAAGAAGATGCATCTACCAAAGTCTTAAGGAAGATAATATGAAGCCATACCTGAACTTATACTCTACTCAAATAAAATTGCCAAAATTTGTTTTTAAAACCTACTGTAAAACTAGTTGGTGTGAACACAATTTGATTCTTTAATATTTTTTAGATAAAAAAAATTTATTAAAAAAACTGATCTAAAAGTATATCAATAAAAAATCAAAAATCAAATTGAGGTAACAAATATTAAGCAAATAAATCCACATAATTGAATAATTAGAATAATTTCAATCACATAATTGAAGAATTTAGAGTACTTTTAAGATATATGCAAAGAAATTCACATAATTGAACCATTAGAGTACTTTCAAGATAAAGTATAACCTGTAAATTGGAGGTAGTAGAGATTGGGGTTGTGATGTTGGCTTCACACGGCGGCTGAGGCGGGCATATGCACCGTCGATAAGTGGGATGGACCGAAATCGTGGTACTCTATGAGGATCGGAAGACAACTGCCCGGTGTCGAGGCATCGCGACGAAGAAGATAAGATCGACGGCTCTCCAGGCATGAAGGAACGACGAAGTGGCGAGGGATAGGGGTTTTTTTTTGCGGATATAATGAAAATATTAGGCGGGCAACGAAAAATAGGGAGGGATTCTAAAATTTGAGATAGAACTTGAAAATTTTTAGGAGCACAATCTGATTTTTGAAATAAAAAAATTTTTTGGTTCATAAATTTTCTCACTCTTATGTACCATTTTCAATTGGAAATTGCTAGGGGTATACCAAATGTGTACCCCAAATATCTCCACCCCTTCCATTACCATAAAAAAAGTCAAGTAAGAATCAAAAAAATAAAAAATAAAAAATAAAAATAGAATAAAATGAATGGTGTAGAGGCAAGTGGTGTCGAGTACACTTTTGGTGTACCCCTACCATCTCCCATTTCAATTAGGGGTACGCAAAAATACCGGTTCGATATTATTTCGAACTGGAACTATAATATACCAAACCGATCGAAAAGTAAGTTTTGAAATGGTTCTAACAAATTATATCACGAATCAAACCGAACTATTTTCATAATAGTACAAGATGGGTTTTCAAAATATAAATAGTGAAAATACCTAACCGTTACCACTATAGTAATAAATAATAAATTAGTTATTCATTTTTTTTTTGTTAATTGAATATCTTACTCACTTGGATCCAATTCCACAAGATACTCTCTTATTTGAAGGTTTGATATGATCTTATTGGATTTCAATTTGATTCGATCTGGTTAGATCTATTTTGGTATGATTTGATCTAATTAGGTCCGATCTGATTCATTTAAAGATTATATGAGGCAAATATGACACAACCTAGACAAGTGAATAGATCTTATTTGAAGATTTGATCTGATCTTATTGGATTTGAATTTGAATTTGATCTGGTTAGATCTATTTTGGTCTGATTCGATCTAATTAGATCTAATCTAATGCATTTAAAGATTAGATCAAACAAATAGAACACAACCTACACAAGTAAATAGATCTTATTTGAAGATTTGATGTGATCTTATCGGATTTAAATTTGATTCGATCTGGTTAGATCTATTTTGATATGATTTGATCTAATTAGGTCCGATCTGATTCATTTAAAGATTATATGAGGCGAATATGACACAACCTAGACAAGTGAATAGATCTTATTTGAAGATTTGATCTGATCTTATTGGATTTAAATTTGAATTTGATCTGGTTAGATCTATTTTGGGCTGATTCGATCTAATTAGATCTAATCTAATGCATTTAAAGATTAGATCAAACAAATAGGACACAACCTACACAAGTAAATAGATCTTATTTGAAGATTTGATCTGATCTTATCGGATTTAAATTGGATTTGAATTTGATTTGATCTGATTAGATATGTTTTGTACGATCTAATTAGGTTCGATTTAATACGTTTAAAGATTAGATCAGGCAAATAGGACACAACCGATACAAGTGAATATCTTTTCGTTGAAGATTTGATCTGATCTTATGGGATTTTAATTTGGTTTGATTCGATCTAATTAGATTTTGTTAATTTATAATTTGTATTTTTATTTATAATACAAATTTGTAAATAAAATTATTTTAAAAGATGAAATATTTTTGTAAATATTTAAACTAAAAGACGAATCAGTGTTAATTAATCGAAAGAATCAAGATGGACGAGGTGGAACTTGTAAATTCTTGTTGATTTATTATAAAAGTTATATCGTTGGGTAAGGATCGACTAATTGAATCCAACGACGCAAACAAATCCTAATTCGGAGCATGTTAACCCAAAAAGTGTGTTTTACTCTGACACATTATTTTAAAGGAAAATGATAGGATGCCACCACATGGGTGCTACCATGGGTGCACCCATGCTTCACACAGACAAATACAGACGATAATTGTCTGTGCGACACAGACAATTATGGTCTGTGTTTGGGTGCACCCATGGTAGCACCCTAGCATGGTCCTATTTTAAATAAATTAGGGAGTAGAAAACCCTACCACATACAAAAAGATAAAATTCGCCCTCCATTCTCCTCGATCGAAGACTGCCCAACGCCGCCGCCTCTCTTCTTCCTTCTTCTTCATCGAGCGGGTGACGACGGCAAGAAGGCCGATAATAGCGCCGGCCAGCAACACCGCTAGACCGACGATCATCCACGGCGAGGATGACCAGCGGCAGAGCAAGGATGCGACCGGCCAACCCTTTGATTGAAAGACTGGAATCGACAATCAGCGACGAGGAAAGGTCCTTCCGGAGAGACTTCCCCGACCTCCTTCTCCAACCTTCCCCAATCGGCAACTGCCTCCCGACGGAAAGGAGCAATCGACGACGACGATGGCCAGCGGGGCTGAGCAAGTCGGGCTGCAATTCCGGCAACCTCCGGGCCACGGCGGTCGATTCGAAATCAATTGGAGGCCATACTTGGAATCTGCAGCTACGTTGAAGTTTGCTAAGAATGGGTACCGAGAGTTGAAGGTCACGGATTTTCACCATGAAGTTGATGCTTCTTTACCACATACTCAGGAGTTGTCTAGGGTGAGTTACACTTCATTTGGCTTTGATTCTTTTTTTTTTTACAGTTCTGGTTTTCCAGATCCGTTTTTTCATGTATTTTCTAAAGCTCTGTATAATAATAGTCTTGGAAGTATCTATTTTTATTCTAATTGAGAGGTTATACTGGATAAAGATAATGATAAAAATTCCGAATGTGGAGTAGTTTTTAAATAAAGGAAGAAATGATATCTTTTAAAATAGATGTTCTTCTTATAAAGAGTATTCTTGCTTTGTTTCATAAAGGGCATCAATCCATGTTATGAAAGGAACATGAGTTGTCTAGATGGATGTGAAAAGTGCTACGACAAGCAACTCCATAGTTGGAACGGAGCTGCTCAGCTACAACATATTCAGAGGTCTCAGTATTATGTGCAATATAGTCGTTCTGTCCGGGTGGGTTTCACCATCATTCTTCTCTGCTTGATTGGTGAGCCTCTTTGTTTGAGCTTCTGCATCGCTTTTTAAGCTTAGTTCATAAACGTATGGTGCATTTTGTTTGGATCCATGGAAAAGTTGATTCTGAATCTTAGAATGAGATATTTTTGAATCTGGTATCCAAAATTTAGAATGAGATTTGGTACTTATGTTATTTGTATTTTGCTATGCAGTCTTTTTAGCATTGCATATGTGAAGAGAATCAGTAAATCTACTAGTAAATCTACTATTGAATCTGGAGGAGGGAGGAAGGGAACTTGCAGAGTATGGGATTCGGCGATGCTCCCTATACAGTTGCTGTTAGAGAAGTGCTTCAACTGTTTCTGGTTTATAATGAATGAATCTTATGGATGATGACACAGGTGACCACTCCCACACTATGAAAGAATCACTTTGTTCATCGCGCTCCCCCTCATCCAAGGTTTTTGTCAAGTATGCCAAGGCCTTCGGGTTACTGTCATGAGCACCTCTGCTGACAAAAAGCAAGAGGCCATAGAACGTTTTGGTGTTGATTCCTTCTTGATCAGTTGTGACCTTGAACAAATGCAGGTAAGTTATGATTAATTTATTCATAATTAGAGAGTATTATTATTCATTTTGCTAACAATTCTGATGATGATATGGTTTATAATTGGTTTTGGTATATATGCAAAAAAGGCTACAAAGAGCACACTTGATGGGATAATAGACACAGTTTCTGCAGTTCATCCTCTTATGCCACTACTAAGCTTATTGAAGACCAATGGTAAGCTTGTATTGCTTGGTCTCCCGGAGAAACCCCTTGACTTGTCAGCGTTTCCCTTGATCATGGGTATGTAATATTAGCCACACTTCCATTCACATGTTGTACATATCTCTGCTCCGCCTTGGCATTGATCTAAAATGAACTAAATGACATTAATTCATGTTTTGATTTTGGATCGCAAGCAGAAAATTGGTTGCAGGAAGTGGCATCGGTGGAATAAATTAAAGGAGACTCAAGAAATGTTGAACTTCTCAGCCAACATAACATCACGCCCGATGTTGAGATTGTGGCGATGGACTATGTCAACACCACCATGGAACGCCTGGCTAAAGCCGACGTGAAATGCGGATTCGTATTGGATTTTTTCAAAGAGTATTACTAAACCAGATCACCATTTTGCAGGTGTGCTGTTCTTGTTCTGTTCTTCCACTGCAATATACTCTCTGTCTATATATATATATATATATTATATTTGTATCTCCATGTTGTGTAGATCATTGCTCATGTTACATTCATTTATCATAACATGTGAATTCACCTCCTGCTCCTTCATTGAACTTGTCCCTTCAATAACAGGTTCAACCCCATGGAATGGCTAGAGATTATACGTTCTAGGTGGTTGTCTCTAACAATTGGTTCTTGATTCACAATGATCATTTCAGGAGTTATTGGGTTTCTGCTTGCAGGCGGGAGATTTAAGTTCAATCCACGAAGATTTTCAAGGATTGGGTTCCTCACTTGTTCCTCTGTAGGAGCAACAACAACCTGTAGCATAGGAATAGGATGGATTGAAAAAGCAGGCATGTAGAATATGCAAATTGTAAGGAAGATGATGTAAATATTAAATTATTAGATGTTAATAATATTTTAAATGTATGAATTTATATATTGTTCAATATATTGTATTTTTTGATATTTGGTAATCAACACAAGATAACAGTTGTCTAATAAAAAAAATTCAACCACCATTCAAACTAATAGCTTGAAGAGTATATGTACAACTACACAAATCTGTATTGTTAATAGCATTTAGACGATCAAAATAAACAGTTGTTTGAAATACTACAAAAATAATAGTTCATAGTTTTAAAATACAACGCGAAATAATAGTTGTCTGAAGCAAATTTCTTTAGTAATCTTTAGAGTAGCTGTCTGATAAATAATTCAACTACTGTCATAAAAGATAGTTTGAATACTTCAAGGAAAACTACACAACACCGTTGTGTTAATAATCAATATACAACTAAAACAAACAGTAGTTTGAATAAGAATAGTGTTAGTAGTCCATATTCTAAAAATACAACAAAAGATAACAGTTGTTTGATGCCATTTTTGTTTAGTAGTCTTCCGAGCAGCAGTCTGATATATCTTTCAATTATTTTTTAAAGTAGATGTATATATTGTTGAACGACAACACCAAGAATTAGGTGTCTAAAGTTAAAAACAACAGTAGTATTCATTATAGATAGACAACAGAAAATCACAGTTTTCTTTAACTCTAAAAAACAAATGTCTTACTCATACAAGGACAACACTAAAAAGTCGTACTCTAAAACATTATAAAACAGGTGTCGTCAACCAGTTTACACAATTGTTTTTAAACAGTAGTCTCTAAATATATCAGACAGCTGCTCGGAAGACTACTGAAATCAGCACAGTGAGACTACTAAAAGAAACAGTTGTCAGAATCTATTTTTGACGTAGTGACATATTATGCATTTGGATAGTATATGCATATACTGCCATCCCAAGCAGTAGACCAAGCACAGACATGAATAATCTCACCATATCAACATCGCATAGATTAATCAAGCTGCATCCATATTCCAATGCATCACAAACGACCTTAAAACCATCAGCATTCTCTTCCATCTCCCCCTCACTCGTGAACATCTGCAATTGTATTAATAGTATAACAACACACCTCCAGGGACAGAAATTAAAATAACCTGCATATTTAAGTGTATTATTAGAAAGTAACATACACATCTAATTGTTTTCGCAAAAAACCGGGCTGGAGATGCAACACTACGAAACAGCTCCTTGTGATTCAATATGCAAGACCAAGCATCCACTACCCGTGGAGAAATGTGATGGCCAGTCGCCAACGCCAACGTCTGAAGGTCTCCACGTTCAACCGATATATTATACCCACTGAACACAATGTGATTCTTGCATAAGTTGACAGTACCAAGTTCAAGAATGTTACTTTAAATCTCCTAATATGATGCATTGTTTAACCATAGTTAAAGCATAAATCTGTCAGCATCTTGCTTGCTTACAACCCACTTCCATAAATTCTTCTCAAATGTGTTCACATTATCTCTTGGATCAATCACCCGTGTCAGGTAAGGTGACTTCAACGTCAAAGCTTTCTTGGTCTTTCTTCTTACCCTTTCATCTCTTGCATATTGCACAACCTGTTCAAAACAAAATAAACAATTGGCCGAACATATTTAAGTCATCTATTCAATAACCAATTAGCATACCTCATCAAATTTCCTGATCAGCCCAGCTCCTCTTTCAACTCTTCTCTCTTCAACAGTCTCCTCCATCTAGAATGAAACCCAGACAACAAGTTCATCAAAATAGGTGCAATCATGTAACGTATATACGCAATGTGTACAAAAACTTTGTGATACCTCATTGTTCAAATCTTGATTGTTCTGCTCTGCATCACATTCTGCACCAATCATCCCTTCACTCTGCTCTATATCTTTGTTCTGCTCAAGTTCTATGTTCCTGGTGTCCATAGGACCAGCCATGTTCGGGGTGTTGTGAGGATCAGCATGACTGATGTTCGCTGGCGTCATCTCTTCATTCACCTCACTGCTCTTCTGCATCTCACGCGTCATCCCACCTTCTTCTTCAAGAACCTGTGTCATCCCTAGACTGAAAGAAGGCACATCATTTATAAATTCCTCATACTTCTTCCGCATTTCTGCTGCCTTTTCCGCCTCATCAACCGCTGCCAAAAGCTCAGGACTGCTCCAGAATTCCGAATCCCCGAACATGTCTGTATCTTTATTCTCAACACCTTGTTCAAAATTATCTTTCTTCTCAACATTTATGCCAATTACTCTATGGCACACATTACGCATCTTACGAAACATCAAATTCTTTCCAATCGACTTTGGTGCATCCTGAATCATTTTTAGTAGATCAATAACTGTGCTTGACAGGATCTTGCTTTTGTCTGCAATTTTCCTTACAAGCACCTAGATAAAACGTAAAAGGAAATCACCGCGTAACTGTTTAAAATTGGCCTAACTAGATATAACAAAAAACCATTCTTGTCATTGAGTATATATTACAAACTTTACCTCTTCTGAATCTTCAATGATTACATTTTCATGCTCTGTATTATCCCTCTCCTCTGTAGCCTTCCTTTCTCTCTCAATCAGCTCTCTATTCACCTCCTCTCGCATCTCACGACTCATACGTCCTTCATCATGGCCTAAACCAAATCCCCCTTCAACAGCCTCACTGTTCTCTCTCTTTCGCAGTTCCTTTCCACTCCAGGCCAACACTGCTGGATATGTCCTAGGAACTGTTCTTGAGAAATCAGAAACACGATCAACGTAGAACACCTGCATAGTAATATCATTAATAAGCATTATGGAAATTTAAAAATGCAGAATAACCACAAGTCTAGATTATACCATCAGAAAGAGCACTGGACCACCGAAAAGCTGCTTCTTTTTCTTTTCCCACCTTAGCTTGTTCTCAATCAGCTTGTCAAGAACATATTGACACCAATTCAATTTAGGAACTCTCCCCACATCTCTCAGATGGTCCATCACCAGGGCATTCACATAACCATGTGATGTGCTATCCACAAGTACCGACATAATAAGTGTCACAAAATGTCTCACAAACCACTCCCCCCCATCTGTGCATTGCAGCATCTTCTCCACAACATCATGTGGAGTGATCTTAATGCCCGTAGTATCAAACTTAAGCCTCCACTCATTCACCAACAACTTGTCCTTATTACGTTTGTTATTTTGAATGCGCTCTCCACCAATCGGCCACCCCAAGACGGTATTAACATCCTCAGCAGTTATGTGCATCTTTGTATTGTCTGGAAGTTTCAGACAGCTGCTCCTAGCATCATAGTTTGATACGACCCAGAGTCCCAACCTTGATGGCAACTCCCAAATATCAAGCTTTAAAACTGACCCAAACCCAATCCTTTCAACAGCGGCACGTTGATCATCATTCATCCCCTCTATTGCTTTCATTAAAACATGGGGTGTCGACCTTGTCTTCAAGGACCCATACGGCGCCTTGATATCTACCAATTTCTTCTTTCCAGTCCTCCCTTTTTCCTCACTTGTAATCTCTCCCTCCCCTGCTCAATACGCTGACTTGATCTTTCACGTGAATGTTGGACACTCTTACCAATTGCTAATGGCGTTGTCCGTTTCACCGATGCAACCCGCTCACTACTATATTTATCATGCACTCCAGCAATTTCTTCCTCATCTCTGTCATCTCCCCCCTCGCAATCTTCTGATTCATCCTCATCTGATCCCAGTGCATCATCACTTTCCAATCCATCACCATCACTGACTTCTTCACCATCATCTTCTGCCTCCTCCTCACCACTGCCTTCTCCATCCTCCACATCATCCCCATCCTCCTCATCAGTGCCTTCTGCATCACCATCACTCTCCATACTTGATGGGGCTGCATTGTTTTCACCCCCATATGCATCATCTGCACCCTGCCTAGCTTGCATATTCTCAGCATTTTTTTGGATCTCTGTCATTCCTTTGTCTGCTTCATCCCTAAGCCCGTCAACTTCAGCAGACCCCCCACTTTGGTTAGATTCTTCACTAACAAGATCAATTCTCTCAAGTCCCCCACGCAGCTTGTTCCTCATCCTGAACACAATGCTCTGCAACCTTCCGCTTCTCCTTCGTGGAGTGCTATCTTGTGCCTTCAGTACCTTCTTTTTACATCTCTTGAGGAATACGTAGTGGACTGCTGTGAAAGTCACAAACACATGAAACACGTTAAACAATATTAACAAGATCCTTACTCATTCTAAAAGAATAATTACGAATAATAATAATTTAAAAACAGGAATCATAAATCATTGCATTACAAACTGCCCAAAGAAAACACTAAACAAGCACCAAATCCATCAGCAATCATGCAGATGAATGATGCAATTTAGAACACACACAATTCCTAAGTAAACATTAATTTGTGAATGATAATCCAACCAAACATCATGCATATACTTAACCGAGACAATCATGATTCTAATGAATTGATAGTGCAGACAGTTTACATCAAAACCACTACAAACTACTAAAACCACCTAATGGTTATCCTGAAATTTATGAAAATGTGGTTTACTCATCTGTTATACCCGAGACCCGAGGTCTTATCACGTTGCTATTTTAGAGAAGGAATTATGGGGAGGTGAGGGGGAAATGGGGTAACTGAAATATTATGGGGCAAAAGGGGAGTTCTTTTGGTGTTTTTTAATGAAGAAAAAGAAGAGGTTTAGGAAGAGAATATGGGGAGGCACGAAATGGGGGAATAAAATAGGAGATGATAAACCAAGTTAGTGTTAAGAGATATGACACACTCTTATCTTAACTTGGGGTTTGAATCTAGAATTCAAATAAGATATTACACACTTATTTAAATATCTAGAACCTAAAACTCACACTTAAGATAACCACTCTTAAGATATAGAATAAGGAATTTGGCTTAAATAGCATCACACTATTTAAAATATACTCAAAGAGTAATGTTTTAATTCATCAAAAAAAAACTGCCTTACAACATGGCCCTAAGGCCGAATTATATATGAAGGGGAAAGTGGGGGGGAAACACACAATACAATTAATGGGACATAAGGAAGCTTCCTAGCAAATATTCATCAGCCCCTCATGTCTTCTAGGTAGGGAGAAAATTCAGAGATGATGTGTGGCTGTGGAGCTCCCTTCTCGGCCTTT